GCCACTTGGCAGCCACTCCTTGTTTTAGCCCAAGGCTGGCTCTTCGTGACCTGGCTGCTTTCTTTCCAGGAGGTGAGCTCACCACTCTCCGAAGTGCTGAGTGCCACGGAGCCCCTGAGCATGGCCCAGAGGGAGATCCAGCGCCAGTCCACACTGCAGCTGCTGCGCAAAGTCCTGCAGATTCCTGAGAATGAGTCAGAGTTGGCTGAGGTCTTTGCCCTGATTCATGAACTCAACAGTTCTCGACTTATCCTGTCCAACGTGAGTGAGGAGACAGTCACCATCGAGCAAACCTCTTGGTCAAATTATTATGAGTCTCCGTCCACGCAGTGCCTTCTCTGTAGCAGCTCATTATTCAAAGGGGGACAAAAGTAAGCACCCCCTTGAGATGTACCCTTTCCCTAGCTGCCCCATCTCACTCATCCCATATTGTCCCTTCCTTCAAGCCCTTTAAAGCTATAACCTTTGAAGATGTTATTTCTTGCTTAAGTTTTCTCTATTTTTCCAATTGGCAAAAGTAGAGCTATAATAACATTTAGTAACTACATTATTTCTATTGAAAATGCCTGAAAGTCACTGTCACCAAATTTAGCGTAATGCCTGGATTTGGGAGTACAGTGAGGTTGGTTACATTGGATAATAAGTTCAGAGTTATATTAACTTTAGGGATGATTCCACAGACCAGATTCCAACAAAATGGGAATACACATCAAGAAAATCTTGGAACACAAGCTCCAGCACTTTCATTTGCTTATTGCAGTGAAGTCTTGAGAATTTTGCAATTAATCACTGAGCCCTGGAACTGCATTAAGAAGTTGATTTCCTTTCTGTTTTTTGGTGATGTTTTTGGTACTAGCTCCCTGGCTGGGCCCCAGGAGTGCTGGCTGCTAACAGCCAGCCGGCTGCAGGTGGTGACTGCCCAGGTGAAGATGTGTCTGAATCCCCACTGTCTGGCCCTGCACAGTTTCATGGACATCTATACAGGTAGGTATGAGCCTTTCTTCCCTCAGAAGGCCCTAGAGAAGCTTGAGAACACCCTCTGAGGGTCAGACTTCTAGTCCTTGGAGCACTAGACCTTCTCAGATGGGGCTTCTGAGAAAGAGGAGATTTTTCCTTCTGGATGTTATAAGCCCAAAAGATTACATTTACCTCCTAAGTGTTAGAACTCTCTGATCTGGAATCTAAACAAAGTTAATTTTATTTTATTTATTTATTTATTTATTTTTTTGAGAGGGCATCTCATATTTATTGATCAAATGGTTGTTAACAACAATAAAATTCTGTATAGGGGACTCAATGCTCAAGGTACAGTCATTAATCCACCCTAAGCCTAATTCTCGTCAGTCTCCAATCTTCTGAAGCATAACGAACAAGTTCTTACACAGTGAATAAATTCTTACATGGTGAACAGTACAAGGGCAGTCATCACAGAAACTTTCAGTTTTGATCACA